AGAACCTACCCAACTAGACGGGACTCACAACTTTCCATCTCGTATGCTCTGGCACGTCTGGGTACTCGCATCACGGCCCAGCGCCTGTCACAGTGGATTGTAGGTCTAATCCATCTATGCTACCTACTCGCCAAACAGCCATTGCCTGGCCCTATCAGGGCTCATTCTACCAAGGCTGTCGCGACTTCCACTGCCTTCCTCCAGGGAGTGCCGCTGACAGACATTTGCAAAGCTGCTACATGGGCCACGCCTAACACCTTCATTAGGCACTACGCCCTAGACGTCCGTACAAACACCAATACCAACATGGGACGTCACATTCTGCCTTCGGCTACGCAGTAAAAGACCTGCCAGCACCCTCCTCCAGGTAGGCTACTGCTCGCTAATCTCCCATGGGTGTGAAGCACAGAGACCACGTCGAAGATAAGCAGGTTGCTTAACAGTAACTGGTGATCTTCGAGTGGTCATCTGTGCATTCACACCACCCGCCCTCCTTCCCCGCTGCTGTCAGCTTCTACATTTTTATTAGGGGTTGATTTGCAGCAGTTTGAAGGAACTGGCGGGATGTCCGCGCCCACCCCTCTGGGCATGCGCGGTGGGGTTCCTGTGCATGCCCAAGGGACTGGGCGCGAAAATCTGTTATAAGAGCTTGCTACAGCACCGATCAATCCAATGCATGCGCACTAGATCCCATGGGGGTGAATGCACAGATGACCACTCGAAGATCACCAGTTACTGGTAAGCAACCTGCTTATTTTTCTCCTGTTTGTTCGGGGGGGGGGGTAGAATCCCTGTTGCTTCTACCTACAAGAGAGTGTGCGTTCTTTGGTAGTGTAGCCACGAATAGAGGAAAAGGCCCTCTCCTCTGTTAGGCAAGGGGTCCCATATCCTGCACTGAAAATGGAGTTTGGTTTTTTCCCCCCCCATGGAAGCAGGGTGGTGACAGGTACTTAAGGATGTGTGTGTGGGAAGGTGGTACAGGGCGTAATGAGGGAAAGTGTTATGGATTCTGTTCCCTAAACACTGCACATCTTGTGTTGGTTTCCTTTTTACAAAAAAGATGCTGCCTTTATGTTTTTGAAGCCCACCCCTGCCAGGTGTAGCAATCGGCCTGATGGCAATCTCTGAAAATGTAACCTATGAAAGGTCAGGCTGTTGAATTCCTGGCCAGGAATCCGATTCTGTTCAAGTTTGCAGGAGGATTGCTACCCCTGGTGAGAGCCAGTTTGGTGTAGTGGTTAAGTACGCGGACTCTAATCTGGGAGAACCGGGTTTGATTCCCCACTCCTCCACTTGCACCTGCTGATGTGACCTTGGGTCAGTCACAAGCTCTGGCACAGCTGTCCTTGAAAAAGAGCAGTTTCTGTCAGAGCTCTCTCAGCCCCACCCACCTCACAGGGTGTCTGTTGTGGGGAGGGGAAGGGAAAGGAGTTTGGAAGCCGCTCTGAGACTCCAAGTGAAGGGCAGGGTATAAATCCAATCTCTTCTTCTTCTCTTCTTCTTCTGGTGGATTTGGAAAAGGGGTTGAGGGTGGGGGGAGGCAGCAGTATCGTTTAACTCTAGTCTTAAACCTTTTCTTCATCCTCCTGCATCTATCTAGCAAGCGAGAGAGATGGTACTGGAAATCATCCGAGAGAAAGATCAGGCCGATTTCAGAGGTGTACGCAACGACTTTACCTCCAGAATGGGAGGAGGCAGCATAGAGGTGTGTACTGCCTTGACATGCAACATCTCTTCCTGTGGATGAGTTTTCCGTGGCAGGGAGGAGGGGGTGGGGGTGGACATTGTCTTGCGTCTAGTGGGAAAGTCTAGAACTGCCAGAACGACAGAGTCAGACCGCTTGCCCGGTGTCTGCTGTGACTGCCAGGGGTTCTCCAGGCCCCCGGGCAAGGGAATGTTCCCAGCTGCCCCAAGGCCCTTTTAACTGGAGATGCCAGGAACTGCACCAGGGCCACCTCAGGCCCAAAGCCCACGTGCTGCCATAGAGGTATGGCTCATTCTCATAATCATCCGGAGTCAGGCCACAGGTCCATCTATCTCAGACCACCTGCTCTGGCAAGCGGTGGCTCTCCCAGGCTCTTCCCAGGCCACCCGAGATTATTTGGATTGGTGATGCCAGGAACTGAACCCCACGTTCGGCATCTGGGTTTGAAAGTTAGTGGGATCTGGTAGCTGCCAGAAGATGGCTTTTTTTTGGCAGAGTATAGAGGAAGAATACTGTGCCTGGTTGCGACACAACCTATATATTTTATTGATTTGATTTATGTTATTCATAGTCCGCCTTTCTCACAGGGGCGCAAGGCGGATTACACATGGTGAGCCACAACAGTCACAAAAAACGGGGCATCCAGTAGCCAGTGCATCATGATCTTAGAAGCCTGGAACCAGCCAGAAAGAGCTGAAGCAGAGCAGAAGTGTTCACACGACACATTAAGCAGTACAGAAATTACGGGATCCTACTTACAGTGGGCTACACAGAGCAGTATAGACCACAGTCACTAATAGCTCATCCAGGCACATCAGTAAAACCATTTTGGGCAGACCAACCCTCTTACCTATGCAGAAAACCTCCCTTGAATGGTTCAGTTTTGCACAGTTTGCAGAAGGCCAGGAGAGGAGGAGCTTTCCCGACCTCCTCAGGCGGGGCGTCGCTGTGCCCAAAATTGCCCTGCCAGCCCGTAGGGGGAAAATAAGTAGCCAAAGCAAAGATCAAGCTAGGCCTAAATGAGTGATGGATGAAGACAGATGGCCCAGGGCTCCCTGGTTCCGTCCTGCTTTCTCTGCCTGTCTCAGGGGAACTTCACAGCTCAAAGCAGGGCTAACAAGCAGCTGCCTCAGGTGGGCAGCCGTGTTGGGCTGAAGCAATAGAGCAGAGTCCAGGGGCACCTTGAAGACCAGCAAAGTTTAATTCTGGGTATGAGCACAGAATTGATCTACCTTAAACATACACCTTCAGGGCTCTTTTTGTAGCAGGAGCTCCTTTGCATATTAGGCGACACACTTCTAATGTAGCCAATCCTCCAAGAGCTTACAGCAGCCTCTATAAGAAGAGCTCTGCAAGCTCTTGGAGGATTGGCTACATTAGGGGTGTGTCGCCTAATACGCAGAGGAGCTCCTGCTGCTAAAAGAGCCCTGCGTGACCTGCTATACACAGTGCTATATACTGCTGCACAGCCTCCTCAAAGAGGGCAACTGTTGTGTCCCTGTGTGTGCCGCTTGACTGGTGGCGCTCTCGCTCGCTTAGCCGGGTCTCTGTACCGCCACTCCAGTTGCCTTTGCTTCTCACTGCTTTCCCTTCCCTGGCAGGTGTCTGTGCCCAGGTTTGCTGTGGGGATCGTAATAGGAAGAAATGGAGAAATGATCAAAAAAATCCAGAATGATGCAGGCGTTAGAATTCAATTTAAACCAGGTTTGTAGGCCTTGCAGTTGGTCTTGCTTTGCAGATGAGAGCGGTCGGTTGGTCTGTCTGTCTGTCTGTCTCTCTCTCTCTCTCCTTTTGATGCAATTTGATCATAAATTAAGGGGGGGTAGTGGTGGAGTAGAAGGGTACACTTTGTGGGGAAGACGCTTTGCAAATCAGTGTAAACTGGCAGAAACATGAGTGCATGCACATATCAAAATAAGATGAAGTGGCTGGATAAACCCTTGTCAGGGATGCTCTCGGCTGATCCTGCATGGAGAAAGGGGTTGGCCTAGTTGGGCCTGTATGGCCCCTTCCAACTCTGTCATTCTGTGATACGCTACCAAAGCAGAGGCTGGGTCCTCACGGGTGTGTCAGTCATTCCCATGTCTTTGCATTCATTGGCCACTTTACTGGAAGGTAGGGAGGCTCCTCTTTAGGAAGCACGCTGCCTGTTGGTGTCTCCTTGTGTCTCTTCAAGGCTCCTTGCCTCTCTTCTCTTTTTTGCAGAAGCTGAAGATGCAGGGGAAGGGGAAGGGTGCAGGGAAGGCACCTGAGGGGGCCTGGCCTTTTCCCACACACTGTACTTCTCAGTGTCAGCTTAGATCTCGCCTCCTTCCTCCTGTGGCTGTGCAGATATGGGTGGGCTGTCCGGAGACCTTTACCCTTTAGCATTTGTTACAAGCCTTCTGCAAAAGCACTATGAAGAAGTTTTTCCTCCCAAAAGTGCTGGGGGGCTCTTTCCTTACAGAGGAAAGTCTGCAGCACACACCGCCCACTTCTGCTTTTAATTTCGCCTATCTCCTCTTTCTCCACAGATGATGGGATTAGCCCAGAAAGAGTTGCGCAGGTCATGGGTCTTCCGGATCGGTGTCAGCACGCCGCTCACATCATTAACGAGCTCATTCTCACAGCACAGGTGAGCGGGGCAGCCTCCAGCATCCCCAGAGTGTGTGGGCTGAAGTTGCCAGCACAGCCCTGGGGTGCACATTCGCATTGCTTGCTTCTGCTGCTGGAGGAGCCATGTCTCTGATGTGCCAGTCGGTTGCATCCGGGAGGGTGACCGTCCTCTCAGTGTTGCAGTGTCTGCCTGCCGTGGAGGCTACACTTTATTTATTTATTTAGATTTATACCCCACCCTCCCCGCAAAGCAGGCTCAGGGTGGCTTCCATACAAGCATAAATACAGTTAAAATCATACAGTTATTTAAAACACAACAGATAAAACAAATACAAACACAAAGTGCTGGTGGCAGTTAAAATATTAACTTAGATGGCTCATTTTCAAAATGAATATCCGCTTCCCAGATGTTCTCAGATGTTCTTCTGCTCATAATTTCTTGTGGCATCAGCTCAATGTTAAAACCGCGAGCCAGGGCTCTACGGCAGCAGCGGCCCCTAATTAAATGCCTGGCGGAAGAGCTCTGTCTTGCAGACCCTGCAGAACTGTGAGAGATCCTGCAGGGCCCTGATCTCTTCCGGGAGCTCGTTTCGCCAGGTAGGGCCCACCACTGAAAAGGCCCATTCTTAGAAAGAGAAGGTGACCGTACAGATGGATTGTGTCGGGGACAGAAACTTCCACGGCTTGTTTGGAAGGTGGGTGGCTTTGGGCCATCAGCTTGCATCACTTGGAATGCCTCGGTGGCTGGTTCCTGGCTCTCGCAAGCCAGAGTGATGGCAACAGGGCCCGTCTGACTCGGAGGGCTGCTGAGTCCCCCCACTGGCTTTGGTTGGGGGGGGGAGGAGAACAGCTGGACCCTTTGGCCATTTGCTGTCCCTCCTCCCCGAAACTCTTTTCCTGCAGGGGGGCTGTCCTAGTGGAGAATAGGGGTGTGCAAAAAAAAAAAATTCGGTAAAATTCGGATTCGGGTTTATTGAACCCGAATTTTTTCGGGAAACCCGAACAAACCCGAATTTCTATATCGGTAAACCATAGATATCCGAAAATTTTCGGAAAACTCGAAAAATTCGGGTCCATTATAACCAATGGGGCCATTGAAGTCAATGGCAAAAAACCTCTTGAAACTTTG